TGGGTTGGGGGTTGGTTTAGGACCAAGGTGTGAATTAAATTTAGGTTAGGTTAACCTGTGAGGTTAGTTTTAGTGAAAATGGTCCAGGTTAGGCTATAAAATGACCAGAAAATGAAAGGAAGTCAATCCATGGTCTCTACGTGGATATAAAAACAAATGTGTGTGTGTGTGTGTGTGTGTGTGTTACCTGAAAGAAAGGGCTGTCTCCACACTGTCTCCACACCACCTCAGAGCGAGGTTTATTCTGACAGTATTTCTCGTACACCTGAAGTTCTTCTTTCTGACAACATAAAAACACCAGACCAGAGGCACAGAACTCACTTATTTGTTTTTATTCACATGACAGCAGCTGAAACTGCAACTTTAAAAGTGTAATTAAGTGTACATTTTTACACATAAAAGAAGTCTTGGCAAAATTTAAAGTTTTCATTCCTACTTTCACTCAGTTCTTTTTTTCTTTTTTTTTCTTTACAAATCAGCACTTTTCCTGACACTTTATGCAAGACAGTGATTTCTAATGGTCGATCAGTTAAAAGCTTCAAATCTTTCAGACAGCTGATATTTGTGACGATGATTCGTTTATTAATTGATTCACTTGATGACTCTTTTGTGTTACGATCTGCGTCTCTTTCTGTGTATTCTGCGTTTTGAGTGTTTTATCTTGATTTTCTTCTCTGTTCTCTGTTCAGTTTCTCCCGTCTGTTCTCTGTTCTAGCCCCGCCCACGCTCACCTGTTCCTCATCTCTCCTCCAGGTGTTGTTTTCCATTTGATCCCTGTTATGGAAATATTTATTTAACAAAGACAGAAATACGTGGTCCAAGAATGAAGGTACTCCGTGGGATGATCAGCTGAGTTTTATTTGCAACAACAGGAAACACAGAGAACAACATCAGACTGTCCCTCTGCTCCTGCCTCTGTTGAGGCCTGATACTGTTTAACAAACACCATTATGTCATCTTAGCAAGATTTCATTCTAAGGAAATACTAGGTCAGGGGAAAACACAAAGATAAACACAAGTGATATCTAAGAATGACTGTTGGTAGCCAGTGGTGGAGAGTAACGAAGTACATTTACTTTATTACTGGAATTAAGTACATTTTTTGAGTATCTTTACTTTACTTGAGTAGTTATTTATTTGGGAACGTTTTACTTTTACTCCACTACATTTCAAAGACAAATATTGTACTTTTTACTCCACTACATTTCAAAGACAAATATTGTACTTTTTACTCCACTACATTTCTAGGAAGCTTGTCGTTACTCGTTCCTTTTAGATCAGCATAGCTTTATAATCCGCTGTAAAAAAAAGAAAAGAAAAGAAATCCGCTGTTCTGGTTTTTCTTTTCATGAAATGCAATTGGCCACAAGCTATGTTCATCACAAAGGTAAACAATCACATGCGTAGCTTATAGCCTACGTCACACTCGTTAACTCTCGGTAGCGGAGCGCGCGCTCCCATCACTTTACTTTCATTTCAAGCAGAACCAGACAAAAGAAGAAGAAGATGCAATGGAGACCACTGAGGAAATGCAAGGAGAGAAACCAGCACACCCATGGCCATATCTCAGTTCAATGTTCGAGGTTTTAGGACTTAAAAATAATACGTATCAGTCTCAGTTCAATGTTCGAGGTTTTAGGACTTAAAAATAATACGTATCAGTTCAAATGTCTTCTCTGTTTACCACGGGTAAAGTACCTTTCAGCATTCCATAACTCACCATCTAACCTGAGAAAGCACATTGAGGTAAGTCAGCAAACTTTTTTCTCACTAGTTTAAATGCTTTAAATGAAGCTGACTTTGGTTAGGGTGGTTGTGGTTTAATGCTGTGAGAGATGATTGAAAACTAGCCGACCATTGTGTGCTAACTGCTAGCTTAGAGCCCCGTGTGGGTGCCCCTTGGGGCTCTGTGCTCGGGATCCCTCTCAGGCCCTTGGGCTCTGGTCTTCCCTATGTCTGCCTCGTGTCTTGGGGGTTGGGTCTCCGGTCCTCCACAGTCACTATTAAATATTCCATTGGAGAMATCTTGTATATACACACATGTTCACAACTGCTCACAAACAGGTGTTCTGATCCGGGGGTTCTGACTGGTCACTGAGTGTGTATATATGTCTGTGTGTATATACTGACAATATTTATGAATGTAGGCATGTATGTATGTATATCTCTATATATGTATGGGCATGTGTATATATTTCTATATGCCCTCCATGTATTTATCCATTTATTTTTCAGGTGAGTGGACAGATGTTGGGTGTGTGGTCCTGTGTTTTGTTGGTGTATATTTAATGTACTTCTAATCGCTATTTCAATCTTTCTAATTACTTCTCTCTCTGTTTTTCTCTCTGTCTCTATTTTCTCTTCACTTAAAAAAGTCACTGATGATGAAGAAATAAATAAATTAAATAAACTAACATTTAGTTTCGTTTTCTACTGAAGTGACAAAAAAAGAAAAGAAAAAAAGAAAATGTAATTTGTACTTTTACTTTGTACTTAAGTACTTTAAAATGCATGTACTTCTGAATACTTAAGTATTTTCAAAAATAAGTACTTCAGTACTTTTACTTGAGTAGATTTTTGACTGAGTAACTTTTACTTGTAGTGGAGTAGATTTGACCATGAGTATCAATACTTTTACTCAAGTACTAGAGTTGAGTACTTTGTCCACCACTGTTGTTAGCAAATCTTGTTCCGACTTTAATCATTCGATCTGCTGATAAACAGCATGTCATGAAAACCTAGATCATTAAAGTATGTCATGAATTACTGGCTTAAACTTAAAAGTATTAGTTCCATTACAGTCCCCATTAGTTGATCCTTATATTCTGTCTCTATATCCTCAGTTTCTTGTTGGTGCTTTCTGTGGTGTGTGTGTCTGCTATGATCACCTTTGTATTTACTTCCTAGTAAGGACTTTACATTTTTATAAATAAAGTTTGTTAAAGTACTTCAGCATTCAGAGTCTCTCAGTCTGCACTTCAACCCAACATTATCAAATATGATCCAGTCTCAGTCTCTGAGGTACAGAGCCATCAGTTTTCAGGATACCAGAAAATCTACTAGTCCTGATAACTTAAAAACCACGTTTTATAAAGTAAAGACAAACAGCTGATTTTATTACACCACCTCTGACAGATCGTTTTAACCTCTCTGGACATGAACAAGTTCCCTTTAGTTTGCCTGTTCTCCTAAAGACTTTCATATATAAAAACGTGCAAACAAATCAGAGCTGATCTACTGACTGTGTGCATCGAGGATTGTGGCTGTAAAATCAGCAAAATAAAATACACTATCCTTTGAGTGTGTTTGTCTTCACGAAAATGCAAAATATATGATGATTATCAGAATGTAGGGCTGGGAAATAAATCAATATATCGTGATCAATATCAATAGAAAATCTCTCTGATAGAATGTTGACAATTTCCTTGAACTCCAATCACCGCCGTGCCTCAGAACTGCAGCAAAATAAACCAGAACAATGTGGAATGAAAGGAGAAAATGATGCAACGTCTCAAGAGGAAATTGTGGATAAAAGGAAACGTGATGTCACCAGTTTGACCATATTAATCAGCCGTTTTACTCCTGGTCCTTATTTCAAAAACCGTACGTAAAACAAAAAACAAATCAATGATTATTGATATTGACTAATATGAAACACTTATATTGTGAGGATATGCAAATGTAATCATTTAGCACCCACAATATAATATTATCAAACCTGAACTGCTTGCGATTGCTGTTTTTGTGACAATAGACACAATAGAGTAAATGTTCTGTGCGTGAGTCAATATATCTGGACTGTCAGAAATAAAAATAGTAGAGGCATATCAGATATTCAGCAATACCCTTTTTAACTGCTGGAGCACCAAGGGGCTGTCACACACTGAAGCCATGCCATATCTTGTATAGTAAAACTTGCAACACTGCATTTTCTTGCATCTGGATCATTTGCCTCCTCCACCACCATGACCTCCATATCCATGGCTTGAATCTTGTTTTTTTCTTTTTCGGCCACTTGAATCTCCCAAACCCTCCATGGGGCCAGCCAGTAGCACACAGGGTTGTCTGCAGCACTTTTGCACCTGTTATCATCTGCACTCTCGATCTTAGAGAATCACCTGCAACACAGCCGCTATTAACACATGTAATTTTTTAGTTTGCACGCACAAGTTAGGGCTCATTTCGAACCTTAGTAAAAAAAAGCTGATTGTAAAGATATTATTCTTCAGCATTGCACCACACTAGATTTTGAGTTCTGAAAATGAACTGTACGTCGTCTGGATGTTCCTTTCACCAAACCTACAGGCATGGCTTATCATCAAACCTCGTCCAACCTCAAGCACGACAAAATGATCAGATTTTGGACGGTAGCCTGGTTCTCCAACACCTGACGCAGACCTCGTGTCACCTGAGACTCTCCTCTTGCTCCTATAATGATATTGTTTCTTGCTCTGAAAGGTTGTATTCAGATCTAAGGTCCTGTAGCCATGAGGTTATATCATTGTTTAATGTCTCCCTCTCCCATATGCTTCTCCAGTATTAGTCTCAGCTCTGGGTGGATCTACTCTCATGGTATTCCACTGGTTCTGAAGGTGTGGTGGAGAATACCCTGTTTATTCTCCTGGCATCTGTTTCTTACTGTCTCTCTTCAGGTGAGTACCCAGAGCTTTGATCCATTGTTTGGCAGTCCCTCGAGCCTCAGGAATGGTTAAGTCACTGTATTTTTGAGGTGGGGTCTTTTTTTCATTGCATGTTTCTGTTTCCCTGACAGCCATGTTGCCTTAATCTTAGCTTCCAGTCTCATCGTTCATGGGGGACAAAGTTTCTCTCTTGCATGTTGGAACACTGGGTCTGAAGTTGTTTCTGAGTCAATCAGAATGTTGGAAATCAATGTTTCTATAGTTCCCACGTCCTTACCATATAGAAGAACTCCAATGATGTTAAGTTCACTGCCTTTGTCCATGAATTTTTTGTTTCAGTAGCCCATTTATCAAAAACATGTCTTGGTTCCCCAACACCTGACACAGACATTGTTAATCCAGGCAACATCCAAGCTGGCTCTAGCTGTCTATAAGATTTGCAGCTTTTAGCTAATCGACCATTAGAAATCACTGTGTTGCATCATCTCCACAGCTCTCACTAATGAGGTTGCTCAGTAGTTGGCTGCATTATGGTTTCCAACAATGAACCCCTGATATTCCTGTAACAAACTTGTGTGACATGGCCAATGCGTTTCATTCCTAGATATCTGAGGAGTTTAGTTTTAGTAACATTTCTGGTGCATAAATTTAGGTCTGCAAACGGCAGCATCATTTACACTTCAGTTTGTTTTTCACAGTAGTGATGGTGGGTGGAAGATATTGTTTGTGCTTCAAAATGTCGCTATCTGTATCTTTAACTGTAGGGATTACAGTTTTTATTTTTACTGACCCTTCTCAGAAAACAGGTTCCAACCAGCTCTGGTTTCTCTGCACAGTTCTCCAGCTCCATAAGAAACGTCCTGCAAGAAAAAAAAATTCAACAAAGAAAATATTGTGGTGTTTTTGTGTTCTTTGCATGAGTAGATTCAACAAAAACAGCACTCCTGCTGTCCAGTTGGTGAAAACATTTAGATCTTTGTGTGTAAAAATGCCTCCAAACTAAAGTCATTTACACCACGAAAAGCCAATAATTATACTCAGTCATGTGGAAGTTTCACTAAACAAACAACTTTAAAATTTTCTTTATAACACAAACAAATGATCTGATTAGGAATAACTGCAGATTTTTTACATTTTGTCACTGACCTAACTTCTCCAGTCATACACCAGGAAACTTTCTCTATGTTGTACTTAGTGAGTCTTCAACAGCTAAAATATTACTTTGCATCTGTGTGAGTTTTTATCAGAAAGGACATCAGGAGATTACTGAGAACCTGTAATCTTTCCATCTGAATGTTTGCCCTCATCTTCACTTTTGCCTCCATTTTTGATAGAAATTGGCAGATTTACTGCAAAATTAGCCATGAAAAAACAAGTTAAAAAGTACTAGATCAGTATTTCCCAAAGTTGGGGTCGGGACCCAAAGTGGGGTCCTGAAACATCAAGGTGGGGTCCTGAAAAGATTTTCTGAATTAATGACATTTTTGCCTTAGTTGTTACAAAGGAGTGAGGTTAGTATATTTAAAATGGATAAATGTAGTATAAAAATATTGTTACTATGCCCGTGTTTAGTTGACCTGATACAAATGTTTATCATCCAAMAATAGTTGTGGGCACAGGTCTCTACTGTTATTTTGTGGGTCAAATGCTGAAAAGTTTGGGAACCACTGCACTTTGGTTCCCAACGTTGGGCTTGGGACCCAATTATGGGTCATGAAGCACCTTGGATAATCTCCAGAAATCAACTTAAAGGGTAATAAAATAATTGCTGATGTAATATTTTCCCTATAACTATTACAAAAACACTAAATAAGTATAAATAAGTATTTATATTTGTGTACAAGCTGTTTAGATTGTCAAAAAGCCTGTGTTTTTAGGGTTATTAACAAAGTTTGTGTACTCAGACCAGTAATATTTGGGGTCAGAAGTTTTTGCCATGGATATTTTGTGGGTCAGAAGACAAAAAGTTTGGGAACCAGTGGTCTAGATTATATTCTGAACCTTCTCAAATTAAGTGAAATAATCTGTCAGTGCTGGAAGACAGTTACACTTAGTAAGACTTCTTGAAATAAGAAAAAAAATCATCAAACACTTTCTGCTATTCTTACGGTACTTTATCCATCTCAAAACAAGAACAAAAATACTTTTTGTCTGGACATCAGATTTAATTAAATGAATTGCAGCGTAACACTGGGGAAAACCACTCTCTGATGGAGAACTTTGTATTGTAACTAAATTATTATAAATTATATTGTAAGTTATTTAGCTCTGTGTGCACAGCTTCACATCATATATTTACCAGAACTGATCAAATATTGACTGAATTTTCATTCAAATATGTTTAAAAAACTTGTTTTAATTGAGGTAATAGTTTGTTACAATGGTTACTTTCTGACAGTGTGATTGCTCTCTAATCTGCTGTAAAAACATAGAAGTTGCATAATACTTTAGTATGTATAACTCTAGAAGTTATAAAAGGTTTGTCACAAGGATCTGACAGATGAGGGGAGAGTTCAAAAATTATATAGAAGCTTATATTTACCAACAGTTTATACCAACAAAGTAAATAAATGTCCACTTACTTATTGTGAAAGTCATATATCTCTGGCAGATTGCCAAACAGCACGTCCTTTTTGTTCTCCAGTGATGAGGGGATGAGGTGGCTCAGCTCCAAGTTACTCAGCTCAGTAAAGTAGCCCTGAGGAATCAGTTAAAATGGGAAAGAATGTTTAAAAATCAAAATGAGAAACATAGAGGTCTAGTATTCTTTGAAAAAAAAAGGGCACAACATGTTTTATGCCACATTTTTAAGATCATCTTATGAGTAAAACTGTTGGATTAGAGTCATTTAAATCAGTGACTAGGACGTGGAGGTGTGTCCAGGTTCTCCAGAACCTCAACAGGACATGGAAAATGACCCAAAACAAGGGAATGTGATGTGGCCCTCTGCCTTGTTTGGTCAAAAACTGTTATCAGTGGCAAAACATGATTTATGACATTTTATTGTAATGCCTCACTTTGGTTCAAAACACCCTGGATAAAATGTTTGCATTTCAATGGAAATACTTTATTTAGCTTTGTAGCCTAATTTGTACATGTTTTTATATTTGCATTATAAGTTGTAAAACCTATTTGTTAAGAATATTAGAGGTTTGCACAGTTTAAAAAAAACTATATTTTCTACTCAGGTTTTGTAATTTTTTGTGATTTTTGGTGTGCTGTGTTGATTATTTTTTTATTTACCGTTATTTTACCAGGCAARTCCCATTGAGATCTCAGATCTCTTTTTCAAGGGAGGACTGGGACTGAAGGCAACCTATTGTACATGTTTTGGGGGGTGGGGGAAACCGGAGTACCTGGAGAAAACCCACGATACAGTAGGTCAAAAACAAATAAATAAATAAATAAATAACTTGAAATTCACACATGGGAGGTTGTGTTGAACAAAATGTCACCATATGTGCATTTTTAGGGTGAAATATGAAGGTAAAATCAAAACCAGCTCTAAAAAAACAACCACTAAGCTTTCCTTTTCCTATCCGGAACTGAACCAGTTCCAGGTGATACACAAACAAAAGAAGTTTTGTTATCAGTTTTGCTCACTGCAAATGGTGTCTAAAACCAGTTGGGACCCTCCAGGCCTTCTAAGCCTTTAGGGTCGGGAAAAACAGCGGGGCCTTAAAAGTTGATAGCCCTGCCTTTTTCCCATTGTGCGGAGCAGCAGGCTGCCATCTAAGCAGGGGAGGTTCTAGGGGCGGGGCCACAGAGGCATTGGTCCCCTGCTGAAATTTGATTGGCCCCCTGAAGTGCCCCTGCCCTGTCACTCATCTGTCCTTTGCCCAAGAGTGATGATGCTGGATGCAGTTCCATGTCCAAACACTAGAGGCGCTAAAGGAGACCAAGAGAAATGTCCGGCATGAATCAAGCTGATAGAAGTCTTTTTCTTTTCTTAAAGTTTGAACTATCCTGCAGAAAAAAGTCTCTCAACTCACCAATGGTGACTAGATTTTCTCGTATGTTGTGTTTGAAAGTATTTTATCTATGTACATTAAAAATGCATGCAAAATCGGTAAGGAGAATTTACTGTGCAAGCTATATATACACTTTACCAAAACCAGGGATTTGTGTGCAAGGAACAAATAATTGGCCCCTCAATGAATATTGTGGCTCCTTGATGGCCCCTTACTTAAAAAAATCCTAGATCCGCCACTGCATCTAAGGCACCTAGAGGGGTTAACCCAATTTTTTTTGCCAATCAAAAGATTCAAACCTGCAACTTCCTGTTCACAGGCTCAAACGCTCAAACATCTGCACCAGCAGGAGCTGTTTATGCAAGTTAATTCAGTGACAACGCCAAGGATGATTACTGTACCTCCATGATGCTTTGCAGTTCTTCCACATAAATCCTTTCTGATTCGATGAGCTCAGCCATGATGAGCCTGTGAGGAACAGAAACACAACTCAACAAAAAGAACCCAAACACAAAACCAACAGAAGTTCTGATGGAGGCCCCAAACAAACTAAAGTGTTGGACCTTTTGAGAACAACACATGGACGCTTTAAATGAGAAAAACTGAGTTGGACAAATGTGGCTCATGAGGAAGTCTGATATTTTCACTTGTTTGTGTTTTATATCACCAACAGTGAAGATTTCCCTGAATTTCTCCAGAAAAAAAGTTGTTGATGCTCATCATGCTGGGACAAGAGTCCTAATTTATCAGTTTATCAGCCAGTTGGCAGGGCGTTGAACTTAAACTACCAGTAAACACAAACACACACACACACACCACAGGAAAGGTCAAACAACAGGGGCCTCATGTATCAATGGTGCGTACGCACAAAACCTTGTGTACGCCATTATCCACGCAAATCTCCGGATGTATCAAAACTCAACTGAACGTGGAAATGTGCGCAGCCCCACGCMAACTCCAGGGCTGGTGTACGCACGTTTCTGTGGTTCTGGTTCCATTGGCGACACTTAGAGGTGATTCTGAGAAACTGTTCATGATGTGAAAATGATTATTGTTCACAGCATGATTAACAATTATTACATCCACATGACTAACAATTATTACATCCACGACTAACAATTATTACATCCACATGATTAACAATTATTACATCCACATGATTAACAATTATTACATCCACATGATTAACAATTATTACATCCACATGGACGCAGTTAAATAAAGGATGTGCAAAGTTGTGCCAAAAATACATTTAACAGGAACAGATTCAGCCTTACTGGAGGATATAATAAATAGTGTAACACACAGAGAGGTTTTATTTATAAACAAATAGAATTTTCTGATGACGAGTGGCTCATCAGCCATTTTGAGGAATAATCATTTTTTAGTTTGGCACTGCTGCGCTCTGGGATTGCGACGCAGCGAGAAGCCGCGTGCACCACGCGTGCACGTGCAGCTGCAGCGATTGAACTGGGGTTCCACAGGAGCTTTCCAGAGGGAGCTGGCAGACCCATCAGGACCATGTCAGTCCAGTCCACCCAAAGCTGAGTCATGACCAATGGAATCGTCTCATCCATATGATTCTAAAGGCTGAGTTATGGTCGTGCTCTGGAGCGTGCGCACCCTCGCCGGCAGTGGAGGTGTTTCATATATTGTTGTAGATTTCTCCAAAATGACACGTAGAAGTACACTTTACAACTTGTGAAATTTTTTTTAAGTAGGAGAGCAAAAGCTGGGCAGACAAACAGACTGCGCACAAAAGCTGCGGAGCGCGCAGCTTTTGTGGAGACTCTCCAACATCACGTCACGTCATGAAAACTCTGCTGAGGCGCAGAGACTCGTTTCTTAATATCAGCTATGAAACAAACTAAGATCTATGTTCTACCAAACATCTAAGTTCCTCTGTGTTTACAGTAATTATGGTAATAAACTCCTGCGCAAAGTTAATATTTTCAGACTCAGAATGGATGGATGAGCCGGTTGCGCAACACAGCAGTTTGCTCGCACACACACACACACACACACACACACACACACACACACACGCACGCACGCACACACCGACACACAATCACTCGTTCTTTGCGTGATAAACATATTTTATTCCTATTCTTACTTAAAAAAATTCTCACATTATATTTAATTCGTTATTTTTATGAATCTAGAAATCATTTCTGATCCTGCAGGGATCACTCAAACATGTCCTTCACACATGCAGGAAGTAATTTGCATCTGTTTAACATATGTTAATGAAGGCGTGTCAGGGGAGGTGTCTTACCTGCGCTCAGTTCCACGTTAATTGTGATGTACAAAAGAAATGTGCGTGGATTCAGGTGTACGTACAGTTTGATACATCTGGATTTTTTTGTGCGTACGCCGTTTTCTGGATTTGACCGTACGTCACGTTTCAGTAAGAAATCCAGGCAAGTCTTTGTACGTGAGGCCCCTGGTCTCTGAAAATAGGTTGTGTAACAGTTTCTCAGCTCAGAAAGGAACCCAGAGGAATGTCCAAGAAAATTAAAGCCCTTTTTATATTTCCTCAGTTTTTGGCAGATGGATTAGAAAAAAAATGGTGCTGAGCGAGAACATTTATATTGGAACCAGTTTGGAGTAAAAAAAAGTCCCTGACAAGTTGAAGAAGGACTGTAAGTGAGACGTCTGTCTAATTTTATTACGACTACGCACACTAACACAATGTTCCTGTTTTCTGTGCTCTGCATGGATAAGCACTTCTGCTGATTTGTATCATATTACAGTACATGTGACCTAAACTCTGCAGGTTGGGAACAATTACTGAAGCAGCTCAGTCAGAAAAGACACAAAAGGAGGGAAGTACACATCATGAAACTTTTTTTAAATTGTCAAACAAGTCTCGCTAATCTTATTCACATGTATAAACTCAAATTTTCCAACATTTTTACAGACAAAAGCTCAGAGTTTTGATATTATAAGGGGCAGATATTACAAGATTTTTTTCTTCTCTCTGCTGCCTTTCATTTCATTTTATTTGTGATTTAT